ACATTGGATAACATTTTAAATTAAATTTACCCATTATACGAGGTTTCTTTGCCACCTCGTTGTCCACGTAGGCTGTCCGCATGTACAATAGTGCTGACATGACATTTTTTATTACAGCATTGTACTTTCAAAATTACTTTATTATAACATCATTAATTTCTATTACAACATTATACTTTTAATTTTAATATTTTTATCATTTAAACATTCTAAATTTAATCAAATATATTTACTAAAAATTATAATAGCAAAAATTAAACATGTTTAGAAAAGATCAATATTTCACGAATAAAAATATTAAAAAAAAACATTCATTCATCGAGTTCATCGTAAATTTCATGACTTACTTTGTAATGCCAAAAATTAAACAAGTGGACATCTTTAAAAAAAAACTCATCATATTCATATCCGTCTAACAGTGTTATTTAATCAAATGAAACCGCCTTGTCACAACTACTACTTTCTCCATCTTTCTCAACGGTATTTTTCCGTAGGTTGTTCAAAGTTATTCTTTCACTTGGCCTCCTWTTTTTGGGGATGAGCTTTGGTCGTGATTCCACTTGAGATGGTTCATGTTCAAATTAGTGAATGAATTAGTATGCAATTGATATATAAAATTAGTATGAAACTCGAATATTTTAYATTACCTTTTTWACATCTCTTTGTGAACCCGTTYCGCCTCGTGTACCCCCTTCACTGCTTTRTCTATGAAAATTAGTCCTAGGCTTGTCTGGTGKTCTGRCATCTTTCAATGGTGCATCTCTTTTCTCATTCTTGCATGATCTACTGTTATGACCTRCTTCATTACACTTTCTACATGTCATTCTTCTTCCTTGTCTTCCAATCTGTCATGTTGAAGTCAATAATCTTTTCACTGCATCCCTTYTTCYTTTAAGTTTTGGCCTTCCAGGCAATCTTCTTGGCAACGGCGGCAAGGGGCTGATGTGGTTGGTTTTCGGCCACATTTTGATTTCGTTTAAAGGTCTTAAATAATGATTGTATGATTGAATAAACATGTTTTTTCTGAAACAATTTGGAACATAACTTTCTGGAATCTTGTTTACATGCAAGATCGCAGCCATAGCATAGGCACAAGGCAAACCCGATAGTTGCCACATTCTACAAGTACATGGTCTTTCGTCTACATCAACTATGAAAGCATCTAACCCACTTTTAACCTCAAAAAAATCACCCCCGCATGGAAGTACATGCCAAAATCTACATGGAAATGAGAAGTTAGTGAGTTTATGAAGAATGAGTACTAAAGTATATAAGTGACAAAATAATACCTTTGTTGTTCTTTTAAGTGCTCAAACTTTTTCCTAATAGCAGGGCATATATCATCCACCCATTTCCCAGATCTCTCTCTCATTTTATACATTATTTCAATMATTATCACTCTAATAGCTTCAAGCARTGTAAGGATTGGCTTTCTTTTAGCATTTACCAATAGTGAGTTAAAACACCTACTAATGCCATTTTCAACAGCATCACAGGCTCTATGCGTCTCAAAAAATGCACGAGGCCAAGTATGAGGTGCTTTCTCCATAAGGTACAAATATGCATCAAGGTTGGCCACTTTGATTTCACATGGGAAAAAATCAAAACAGTTAACAAAAGMATAAAARGACAGTTCTAACMGCCTAAATACATTTTAACAACTTAAAACAATAACAAACATCTTATAATAGCTTAAAAACAACTTAAAACAGTTTCGGAAGTGTAAATACCTTTGATTTCAGACATCACTTCTTCAAATTGTTGTTCATATGACGCTTTAGAGGCTGCCCAAAAAAGGTTTTTGAATTGTACACCACTAAACTTCTTCCTAAAATTTGCATAAATGTGTCTAGCACATTGTCTGTGTTCAGCTACTGGGRGCACATTCTTGACAGCCTCAATCAACCTCTATTTCAAGAAACAAAAAGTTATTTTTTTGATTAAAAACAATTATAAGAGGCAAAAAAAACACACTTAAAAAGACGTAGAAACAGCAAAACAAAATGTACCTTATGTTAATTTGAAATCAAAGTTGTACCAACACTATCATTCAAATATATGTTTTCCTTCAACAAGTTAATAAACCACATCCAGTTTTCTTTGTTTTCAATATTCACCACCGCCCAGGCAATTGGGAATATTTGATTATTGGCATCTCGACCAACGGCTGAAAGCAACTCTCTTTTGCATATTGTCTTTAAAAAGCACCCATCAAGCCCAATTACTCTTYTACAACCACTAATCCAACCTTCTTTCAATCCTTGTAAACATATATAGAAGCCTTGAAAGTAAGTCTTCCCATTGGGGTTGACTTCAACACTCATTTTTACTGTAGATCCAGGATTGGTTCTTCTAATTTCTTCATCGTACTCCCAAATTTTATCATAGTGTTTCTTCATACCTTGCTCAAAGTCACTAATCGCATGTGTTTTCACTCTAGCACAAGCTTATTTGCATACATCCACTAAGAATCAACTGCCAGCTATCAGACTCGGGATACAAATGGGAAGTGCATTGGAGACCCTATGTGGTTTTACACTAGCACAAGCTTATTTTCATACTCTATCCTTCAGTGTTTAAACTGATTTCTTCAGACACAAAATATTGTAGTTCCTATGATGATAGCTTGGCTATCTGGGGTTATAGCTAATTATATAATCATTGGCCTAGCTGCCATTAGTTATTGGTTAACCCATATAATCATGTAGCCTAGCTAATTATATAATCATTCGGAACTTTCTCACATCGTCATAATGATAACTGCTATCTGTTATATTAGATTGGCTCAATCAAGGATTCGGTAATCACTCTTGAAGATGAAAATGGCAATAATATGTTGCATTTAGTTGGGAGAGAGCAAATAGTGAACAACTTCAGGATGTGTCCGGAGTAGTTCTACTTAATAGAAAGGCCAACCCCACCGGTTAGAGTCTGCTCTGAAAACAATTTGAGAAGAATTCATCCACTCATTTGAATACAAAAGTAAACATTTTATTCTAACAAGTTTGATTTGATCCTGGAYCATGTTGGTATTAATTTGGGYRCATATATTTCGAGTCTTTTAGAGGTGAYACTTTGAAGTAAAAGAACAAAAATATAACTTTCAAATAACATGAAACAAGTCAAAGTTTATCTTATTGAGGCATTGTGTTTCCATTTTCTCCCTAGTATTAAAGTTTTGAACAATTTCAAGCAACTAGTCAAAGTATACTTCCTGCACAAAGGATCACCATCATTTCAAGTCCATGAAAGTTACCAGAAACTGGTTATCTATTAGGTTCTTATGTTTTCAATGATTTTTCTAAAATCAATCTAAAAAACACCGTTTGTAAACTAATTGCAGGTCTAGAAATATAACACATGTAATATGTAGTTAAGCAAAGCTTAAGACTAAACAACACGTTTATAGCAAGGTAAGTCCATTAAAARAATCTCGACAGCACTTGGTCACATAGAAGCAGTTTCAATGGTGTGCCTAGAAAGAGTCGAGGCATCACTTTCATTAAAAAAAAGGTTCACGRCACAATAGAAAACCRTCCAAATAACCTATAGACCAACAAAAGCATGCATAATGGGTTCATGGGGAATAATACAGGATGAATTCAGCAATCCACTGACAAAAAAATCAATCATGAAAAACTGTGATACACACATTGGCATCATCCTTGACAGGAGCAGCTTCTGCTGATGTAGCTTGGACTGCGATACTCACTCCAACAGCTTGACTAGGGAAACTGCATAATTCARTTGTATAAGGTAAGTAACATATATAACTTATAAGTCARAAAAAGAAACCAAGTGAATGAGCCCAATATATCCAACCTGGAGGTGAAAAGAGCCAATCATCTCAAGGAAAATAATTTCTCTCCATAGATAACACAACCACAACTCTTGTTTCAATCCTATAAAGGCCTAAAGTAATACCCCCAATTAACTGTGGAATTTCCAGTCAAATTAAACAATCAACTTATCAACATAGAATTATTTAACGATAAGATCATTTAGATCACAAGTTTACCATTGAGTTACAATGTTGAATGCCTAAATTATTATCTAAACCAGGTTCTTTGCATCTACTATATAGTTCAGATTACTTTTATCTGCCACRRCCATGCTTTCATCAWTGACTTCTTGGATACAAATATTCYTCAACGGTCCCTCATATTGGCATCTCAGAACAAATAAGAAACAAAGTTCAAATCTCATGTTATTTTAGTTAATTAAGCGTTCACTCAATATCCAAATCAAGACTTTGCACATTTGAAGATTCTTGCAACCCCAACTTATCTTGTAGCATAACAGTTGTTCTTACAATTGTAGAATGCAGAGTGTAGCCCGGATACTYAATGCTTGAATTATTCTTTGTAAATGTACATATATATTGTTGTAAAACATATTGAACTTATCTGTTGGAATAGGATGTGTGATGAGAAAGTCGATGAGGAAAAGAATGAGAGTCRATTAGGGTTTAGATTCGAGCAGGAAGAAGACGGTGAGGTTCGATTAGCAAGATATGTGATTAAGGGATTAAGGGTGAACGAATAGTCATCAGGAAAGAATGAACAGTCGAACAGTGCAATTGAGAGGGATTGAGGCGTTTTTCATTTTCAAAAAATTGTTTTTAAATTAAAATTTTCTTTTAAATGACACGTAAGATATCCATGTGTAACARATTATCCTATATGGTTTCCATGTCATTTTAAGTTTGATACGTGAACAAAGAAAAACTTGTTCAAAAAGTAACAATTTCCCAATGTTAYAATGAGTAAATTTTTGACAAAATACAATGTCTTAATAAAATATATTTTGAAAGTATATTGTTGTAATAAGAAAAACWGAAAGTATAATRTTATAATAAAAAAAWTTGTAAAATAAATTATTATATAYAAATAAATTATTATTTTGTGCATTTTATTCTTTTATATAATATATTATTTTTATTAACAAAATAAAAAAGCTAGAAAAATGATTTAATTTGTAGTGTAGTTGTAATGATAAGGGGGAAGCTGGAAGGAGACAAGCATGAACACAAACATGGCGGCATCAATGGCGAACTTACAGACATTACGACCTTCATCACTACCACCACCTCCATCTCGCTTCTCAATTCATGATCGTTTCTGTACAACAAGTATCTCTAAGATACGAATAAATTCAAACCCCACTACTACTAGTAGTAGTAATAAATCAATTAGGTTTCCAGTTATCTCTTGTTGCGTCGATTCTACCACCGAGTCTTCCACCATATCATCACCACCAGATGAGACGTCAACGCCGCATAAGGACCTTCCGCCGTTGCAAAAGAAGCGGCAGATGTATAGGAGGCTGCTTCCTGGAGAAGCGGAAGGTATTACTGGAGAAATGAGATTCGTTGCTATGGACCTCCGTAATAGGAAACTTAAAGTTAAGAATGAAAATTTGGATAGGAGAGGTAAAAGTGATATGGAAGATGCTGGTTCTGGAAACAGTGATGGAGAAATTGATGGTTCTGATGACGATKATGGTGGGACAAATAATCAGAATTCCGATAAGGAGATTGAGATGTGGGATCCCGATCTGGTAGGTTTTGTGAGGTATCTCGTTGACAGTGAGTTTCTTTATAGCTCGATTGAGCGCTTGGTCGATGAGTCGCAAGATGTTTCTTGTGAGTTCCTTTTCTTCACTACATTCCATATGATAACTTCATTTTACACATTCTGTTTATATTTCTTGCTTTTCGTTGGAATTTCTTAAAATACAACATCTCTCAATTTAGGTTACTGGTTAATCTTCCCTCAATTCCACAATTAAACTCCACTTTCCGTTTTTGTAAAGGTAAATAGTACATCAATTTAGATCAGTAAAATTCAGAACATTGTGTCATTGTACAACATAGGGGACTCTTTATGGGAATAAAAGATCTCCAATTGTTTATTGGAGGGAGCAGTTAACAGCAATTTTAGTTATGTTTAATTGTAGTAAAGACAAAGTTAGGATCTCTGGTGTCAACATAAATATGTCTCCCTTCGGGTTGAAACTTGATATAATTTTGATGAACTGGAATTGGCAACATATAATTGGATTGAGATTTAGATGTACATGTTATGCTGATCTGGATAGATTGATAATGTAGAGAGCAACTGATCAAGTCTTTTGAGGTGGGGGCTGCTGAGATTTAAGGGAGATTACTACCATTGATCAAGTAAAGTTAGCTTATGCTACCACTTTAGCTACCCACATTTCGCTGATCATCCTCTCGAATCAGCTACTGATCATCGCCTTGGTAAGCTATTACCTTACCAACTAGCTATTCAGACGCGAGCCCCTCCTCGGGTGGCCAACCATCAAGTCAAGTCTATGTTTTAGCTAATTAGTAACTTAATTTTCTAGAAATAGTTTTTTTTTCTCTACATCAGTTGTTCAAAGACTCTTTCTCTTTAACCACATGACACATCTTATCACCTCAACGCCTATGAATTTGGTTTCAGATCAGTGAGATCCACCATGATTAATACCATATCCTCCACTTCCCAAAAAGACACCCCCCCCCCCCAAAAAAAAAAAAAAACCCAACAACACCCTCTAATTGCATCCTAATTAGAAGCTAYTAACACTTTCATAGCAGAAATGTCAGTCCAAAAGGCAAACTAGCAAACTCCAACATGATGAATCTAGTTATGGAAATTGAGACAAAGTTAATGCTGTAACGTTAGATAACCATGAACTCGATAGACCTTGGTAGGCCCAAAATCCTTCATGATTCCCGCAAATAAAACTGGAGTTTCTTAAAACCAACCCAAGTGTTTACAAAGCCATGATCTTAGAACTTGTATCTAAAACCAAGTTGTGGAGCCAAAGGGTGTGGTTGGTTGACTTTAACTTGATCCAGTTATAATTCTACAACATGTGCTCCCTAAACACTTGACAACCAAGTCTCAATCATGCCTTCTCCAGCAAGTTCCTATCCTTCATATTCAACCACTTGACTTTAGAATCAGTTGGATCTGGTTAATCCTTGACAGCTTGAGAGACAAAATCACAGGGTAGAAGAACTATATTTTGGATGCAATGAGAAATTTACATATGGCCAGGCTCTGTTGACCTACATGGCTACATCATTCTCCTTCATGTGCTCGAAAAGGCGGACGAGGCTACTGGGGAGCCACTAAATGATTCTGATGAATGCTAAGCAGCTCTGACGGTTGTGTCAAAGATCTCCTTGTATGCTATGTAGGGCAAAACTTTAGGCACAATGGAGAATTGTTCTGTCTTATGGTTAGTTTGGCTGATAGATGGTTCACCCACAATTCTTTTGCTGGTGTTGCGGTTGAAGGAAAATAAGTTATCACTTAATCAAGTAGTTCCTTTGGGTATGCAAATTGTGAATGGATTGGGGATATCGTATGACACACACAATTGTGTTTGCTAGGAACTCTCATACAAGTATCCTACTTCACCATCGTGCAGATTTATTATCCGATCTCAACTAGAGGAGCTGACTAAATAGTCTCGCTTAACACCGTTCAAATTAATTGGAACACGTTGTTYATGATATTACGTCTCAGGGTAATGCTACAAACTCCAAGGCATTCACGACTAGTTAATGCCACACTCATTTTGTTAGCAGGCTTCCAGAAACGAATCATCCCATGATGATTCCCAAGGAAACAGACTAGAGTTACTGACCTCTACCCAGACACAYTGCTATATGAATCAATAACCATGACAAGCTCTATAAGTTTGTGTTTATAAAATTAAAAATAAGAATAAGAAGATGAACACCAAATAAAGAATTATCTTTATATAATTTAATTATTTAAATCAATAAATAGGTTAAACCCTTTTGTAATCAGACCCACCAACAATCTCAATAGATGCCAATTCACACAGATTGAATCTATCCTTCTCGATAGATTCAACGAAAGAAAAGGGGTAGAAGCAGAGTGTTCACTTAGTGAACGAGAAATTTAAATACAATACGAAATTAGTAAAACCAACCTGGTAAAAATCGCTGTAGATTCGGATGAAGAACTGCACGGAAAACCTGTCCTTAAAGGTTTTATACGACCACTCTTTAAATGCTGTGAGTCTGCTAGTCGCAAAGCCCCARGATTGAATGCAGTAGAAAATTCRTTTGTGAACAGCAATCACAACGAATGTAGAGAAGGTTTATGTAGCAAACCGTAGAGAGMAATAAGAGTGGGGAGCAGAATTTCGTCAGAGGAAAAGTAGTTTCGTGTGTGTCTAATGATACGGCTTCACCCAGTATTTATACYGGGTGAAACCCTAGCTCAAACCCACTAGCCACTAGAAAAGCCCACGTAGAGAAGAAAGTGGGAGAGAATTTCTCACCCAAAAACTTATCTCTAAACCAAGTCAAATTAATTCAAATTTAAAATAAAAATAAAATTAAAATTCGGATTAATTAATTATTAAAAAATTAATAATTATCTCAAAATTATTAAAATTAATAATTATCTAAAAACCCCAATTTATTTTAGATTAAAAAAATAAAATCGGATTAATGTAATCCTTCTGACGAAATCTCTAATAAAACGAGTGTGTTGGACCTTCCACTCAAGACCCCCACCATGAGTCCACTAACAAGTTCAAAGCCCACTACTAGAGAAAGCCTTATAAGCTTCTCTAGAAATAAATTCTCTACCAATGTGGGATGGAAGGTTAACTTCCAACCAACAAATTTCCAACAATCCCCCACCAGGTTGGAAAGTTTCCTGACATTTATGGTAGACAACGTTACAGTGGTGTCACTAAGATTAAACCATGTTTAATGTAAGTATGCAAGAAGTGATCAATCCAATGGTATCCTTAGGATTTAAACCTTGAATCTTGCKACCACTTCGGCTTACCTACACACGTCATCTATCCACCTTGCTCTCTCACTGAGCGCTAATATGGCCATGCGCTAAACCCTGTTTCATGACTTACTCAAAGAGAAACCACTACTCTTCTTTTGAGGCGGCMCCACCTCTAAGTCATATAGGCAAAGTTCTATGGCATCTTCGTTGTTAAGATGCCTCTAAACTTTGTTAAGAGATTAACTCATCCTTGTTCTCGACAACGCCGTACTATCTTTCACCTTACATGGATCTATCGTTTGATAGTTCCTTCTATCAATCAATTGACTTGTTGTTACCCTTTAAACTTGGTAAATAGGAGTACTATATCCAAGTTGGGTTTCCATCAATGACTGATTCTATGTGGTTTCAGACCCATGTCTCTGGTGGTTGATCCTACCAAGTCTCTCGTCAGAGGCTTGGTTAGTGGATCTGCCAAGTTTCCACAAGACTTGACAAACACTATACTTATGGTACCATCATCAATTAGTTGTTTCACGTAGTTGTGTCGGAGACTTATGTGTCGCGACTTCCCATTATATACAGCATTGTATACTTTGGACAGTGTGGCCTCACTGTCACAATACATAGGAATAGAGGGAGTCGGTCGAAGCCATAAATGGATGTCTGTCAATAAATCTCTAATCCATTCGGCCTCTTTGCCCGCTGCCGCTAGGGCAATAAATTCGGCTTCCATAGTCGAATGAGCGATACACGTTTGTTTCTTGCTCGCCCAAGAAATCGCCGCTCCAGCAAGAGTATAAATCCAWCCACTTGTGGATTTAGAATCACTTGAGTGATCTATCCAACTGGCGTCAGAATATCCCTCCAAGATTCCTGGATGCGTAGAGTATGTCAACTCTAGTTCTTGGGTTCTTTTCAAGTAGCCCAATACTCTACCAATTGYTTTCCAGTGATCTGAACCCGGATTGCTCGTATATTGACTCAGTCTACTGACAGCAAAAGCAATATCCGGTCTAGTGCAATGCATTGCATACATCATGCATCCTATTGCACTAGCATATTCTAGTTGAGCCACTGCTCTACCAGTATTTTTATTGAGTTTCACACTTGAATYAAACGGAGTATTAAACTCTTTTATATTCAAATGTTGAAACTTTGTCAGTATCTTCTCTATGTAATGAGACTGACATAGAGAGATTTGAGATGCAGATCTTTTGATCTTTATCCCAAGGATGGTATCTACTTCTCCAAGATCTTTCATCTTAAAGTTCGARRATAAGTAYCMTTTTGTCTCAAGAATACCATCTAGATTGGTTCCGATGATCAACATATCATCGACATAAAGACAGATTACCACAGTGTACCCTCTCGTGCATTTTGAGTATATGCACCGGTCGGCCCCCTTATGTCGGAACCCGAAAGATGTGATAGTCGTATCAAACCTTTCGTGCCACTGTTTAGGAGTTTGTTTTAACCCGTATAGAGATTTAACAAGTTTACACACTTTATTCTCTTGTCCGGGTATTACAAATCCTTCAGGTTGCTCCATGTAAACCTCCTYGTTTAAATAGCCATTCAAGAAAGCTGTTTTCACGTCCATTTGGTGAATATACAGTCCTTTTATGGCGGAAATTGCTATGAGAGTTCGAATGGAACTAATTCTAGCAACTGGAGCATAGGTGTCGAAATAATCGACACCCACTTTCTGTCTATATCCTTTAGCCACCAACCTAGCTTTGAAGGATGATATTGTACCATCAGGGTGCATCTTTCTTTTGAATATCCACTTGGAACCAATGGGTTTCACCCCTGTTGGCAAATTTGCCAGCACCCAAGTTCCATTACCCAAAATGGAGTCCATCTCATCATTTATGGCTTCTTTCCACATTGGAGCATCCCTTGAAGTCATGGCCTCTTTAAATGTTTTGGGATCCTCTTCAGTATTGATAGAGAAATTGAACTCTCTTGTCACTTTATTTTGAGTCCCTTCTACCAAGAACGAGAAAAAGTCATTTCCCATATTTTTCTCTTTTCTCACTCTTGTGCTTCTTCGTGGTTCGTCCGCCTCTATAGAGGTTTTGAAACTAGCACGAGATGAGCCAGAGGGATTAGAGGCCAATATTGGTTCTGATTTTTCAGCATCTTCTGAAAATCTATCTTCAAAGAACTCCACATCTCTGGATTCTACTATAACTCCTGACTCTTTGTCCAATAATCTATAATCYTTGCTATTTAGTGCATATCCAACGAATATGCTCTTAATAGCACGGGCTYCCAATTTAGATCTTTTCGGATCAGGAGTTCTATAATATGCAACACATCCCCAAACCTTTAGATAGTTCAGATTTGGTTTTCTACCTTTCCAGAGCTCATATGGAYTGGTTGGAATCACACGACTAGTGATCCGGTTGTGAATATGACAAGCGTCTCCCCAGAGATTGTTAGTCAACCCTGATTGGTTCAACATACAATTGACCATTTCAACAAGGGTTCGGTTCTTTTGTTCCGCCAAGCCATTTTGTTGAGGAGTAAATGGTGAGGTCCGTTCATGTTTGATGCCATTCTCTTCACAGAATGTATCAAATTCTCTATTAAAGTATTCACCACCTCTGTCTGATCGAAGTATTTTAATYCGTTTTTCAAGTTGATTTTCGACTTCAGCTTTATAAAGTTTAAAAGCGTCAAAAGCTTCGTCTTTTGAATGTAACAGATAAACTTGTAAAAACCGACTGAAGTCATCACAAAAAGTTATGAAATACCTTTTACCTCCTCGGGTAAGTAATCCATTTAATTCACAAATATCAGAATGAATTAATTCTAAAATTGATGTATCCCTTTTAACAGAAGGAAAAGGTTTCTTTGTAAACTTTGATTTTACACAAGTTTCACATTTTCCAAAGTCTTTGTTATCAATTTTGATTAAACCTTTGTTATGCATCTTTTCAATATTTTTCACATTTGTATGYGCAAGACGTTTATGCCATAAAGAAATAGAACAAACAGAATAATCCAAAGAAGCAAATTTATTAAAACCATTCGGGATTACATCGGTATCAACCATAGAAACAAAAAAAATTTTATCACTATCAGACGTGGCTAACACATTGCTTCCTACTGATTCACTCGTTCCGCCCTCCTCACAACCATCTTCACTCAGGTTAAGGCGATACATACCCAACAGGTTGTATCCCTTTCCAATAAAAACCTTCCTCTTGGAGATCACGACCTTCCTAGTGAATCAGTAGGAAGTAATGGAAGGTACGTGAAGAACGTTTYGGAGAGTGACGGTCTTGCCGGAAGTGAACTTCAGTTGCACGGTCCCTATTCCAACGACATCTGCACGGCCGTTGTTCGCAACAATCACTTGCTTCYCATCTCTCACTGGTCCATATTCAACAAACTTGGACCTGGAGTCACAAACATGAACAGTGGCTCCAGAATCCAAGTACCAACCAACTCTTGCTGCCACAATTCTCGTGGCGGCCTCTGAAATCATGTCAATCTCTTCCATGTGGAGATTCGCCACAAGGTGTTGAATCCCCTCAACAGAATTAGCAACAGGAGGTCCGGACTTTCGGTCCTTGCACTCACGAGCATAATGTCCCGTCTCTCCGCAGACGTGACATTTTCCGACCCTCTTAAACTTATGTCCCATGTTTGATTGACTACCTGGTCTCTTCACACTCTTCTTTTGTGGACCCAAGTTCCACTTCTTGTTTGGCCCTCCGGCCCTTCCCTTTCCTTTGCCTACAGCCTGCACGCTGTTGGCATTCATCACAGACTTGCCTCTCCTCTCCCGATTACGTGCCTCTTCCTCAATGCGCAGATGTTTTAGTAAATCGTCCAAAGAATAATCTTCGGTTTTGTGCATCATTCTCTTTGAAAAATCTTTCCAAGATGGAGGCAGTTTATCAATCACTGCCCCTACTTGGAAAATTTCAGGGATAGTTATAGAAAGCATTTTCAATTTATTTACTAAAACTTGGAGCTCATGCACTTGCTCCAGAATCGGTTTATCATCAACCATTTGGAATCTCAAATACTGAGACACAAGATATTTGTTTGTGTCATCTTCTTGTGACTTGTATTTGAATTCCAAGGCATTCCATAACTCTCTAGGGCACGTAATCRGGGCATACARATCAWWCAAACGATCTGACAAAGCATTCTTAATGTGTCCACAAGCAAGAGTTTCCTCTTCCTTAYGGATCATTCTAAGCTTTTGGAGATCGGCAATTCTTTRAAGATCCGGTTGTTGTCCTGGTTCAGGAACCGGATCTTCTGGAATGGGAGGGAGACTTGGGTCCAAGACATAATAGAGTTTTAAAACCATTAGCATAAATTTCACTTTTTCGGCCCAGCGAGTGTAACTCGACCCGTCAAACTTGTCCAATTTCATCATGTCTTGATTGAGAAGACAATAATTTCCGGTGTCCATTTGTTATAAACAATCTTAAAGGTTTTATACGACCACTCTTTAAATGCTGTGAGTCTGCTAGTCGCAAAGCCCCAGGATTGAATGCAGTAGAAAATTCATTTGTGAACAGCAATCACAACGAATGTAGAGAAGGTTTATGTAGCAAACCGTAGAGAGAAATAAGAGTGGGGAGCAGAATTTCGTCAGAGGAAAAGTAGTTTCGTGTGTGTCTAATGATACGGCTTCACCCAGTATTTATACTGGGTTTCAAACCCACTACCCACTAGAAAAGCCCACATAGAGAAGAAAGTGGGAGAGAATTTCTCACCCAAAAACTTATCTCTAAACCAAGTCAAATTAATTCAAATTTAAAATAAAATTAAAATTCGGATTAATTAATTATTAAAAAATTAATAATTATCTCAAAATTATTAAAATTAATAATTATCTAAAAAACCCAATTTATTTTAGATTAAAAAAATAAAATCGGATTAATGTAATCCTCCTGACGAAATCTCTAATAAAACGAGTGTGTTGGGACTTCCACTCAAGACCCCCACCATGAGTCCACTAACAAGTTCAAAGCCCACTACTAGAGAAAGCCTTATAAGCTTCTCTAGAAATAAATTCTCTACCAATGTGGGATGGAAGGTTRACTTCCAACCTACAAATTTCCAACAGTTTGTATGTTCTAAAGTTAAAGGCATGCCTCCTCATGTTGGAAGGAGGTAATGGCGAGGATGGTAAAAATCAAAAGGGGAAGTTGTCTACATCACGAAACAGACAAGAGGGGGTTGGGATATTGATTCCACCAACATGCTTATGAAGTTTGTCAAACCATATATTATCGGTTTGGGATTGAGGGTAAAGGGTTAAAGTCGGTATTCTATCAATTTGGATGAATGAGTACACTAATACATTAATACGGGGGAACAGTGAYTGCTCTTAATGTAGGAGTTGATAGTACAAGTGATGAACTAGGTGAAAATCAACCAAGATCGGAAGATGAAGCCATCCCCATGAACCTGCCATTGTGCCATGTACTTCCRATATACAATTCCTTTTTAATGATGAATTTTTTTTTTGCTATTTTAGAAAAGATATAAACAGCAGAGCAATATATCCAGGATAATTGATAAATGACCGGTCCATGTTCATTGAACTATATTCTCATGCTTTATAGCCAGCAAGCATCATCAGAGTATTGGAGTTTATCTGAAGTCCTTTTAGTAGTCTTGTCTTTACATCCTGGCCGTCAAATCATCAGATATTTTTTATGCATAATCATCTTGTTATTGCATCATCTTCATGACGTTTGTGATATTATGAATGTATGGATTTATTTTGTTACCTCATAATCAGACATTCATCATATCTTGGAAGTTTTTTGTTTTACCCTTGCTACAGTTGCCTACTTCAGAAACACTGGATTGGAAAGAGCTGAAAGTTTTAGAAAGGATATAGAGGTGTTTAGACAACAGAATGTTCCGATTCCGATGCCTCACCCCCCTTCTAAAAAGTATGTGCAGTATTTGGAGGAACTTGCAATGGAGAGTCCTCCTTCATTTTTCTGTCATTTCTACAGTATATACTTCGCCCACATAACAGGTGGTCAAGTGATTGTAAAAAAGGTGCGTACTACTAAGAATTTGTTTGTGTGGTAGTCTATTTATGTGATAGGATCAAGAAGTCCCTACTTTCAATTTGCTATTCAATATTTGATTTCTGTTTCTTATCATCGGTGGTTCGTAAAACTTGCAAACTGGTAAGGCAAGAGTTAAGTTCTGATTATGGAAGCTTGGAGCTTTAGATTAGATACTACTCCCTCCATCCCAGAATAAATGTCCAAATTTTTATTCTAGTTTATCCCAAAATAAGTGTCCATCTTCAAAAGTTAGTTTCTGCTTTCCTATTCTACCCTTAATTATGAGATGGAGAAAWTTTCTCTCTATTATTGAGGGTAAAAGTGTCATTTAGTCAATTAGAAAGTGTATTACAAAATCCTAAAACTGTCTGCGATTTTTATTGTGGACATTTATTTTGGACGGAGGACGTATTAGTTTCTTTCAGAACATGTCACGCGATCATACTTGCATAGTATTCACCAGTTGAGTTTAAGTATGCCATATGCCAATAACATTATGGTGTCGAAGAAGTTAGAGATAATTGATGTCCATGGGAATGTGAAGCGGCTGAAGGACTAAATTCTACATATGCCCTCGATACCCTTCTGGTTCCATCTTATAGGACTACATCTTATTAGTGGSTTTTGAAGCTAATAAGTTGTTGCAATATAGTTTAATAATTTATCAGTCTTTGACTTATCTTCCCGATTTTTCTACCACCTATTTTGGCGGGACAAAAAATAACGCATTTTTGTCCCACTCGGTCCTTGTCCTGTCCTACCAAATATGGGGCAACATGTTTTTGTTACACATAGCTGCTGAATACCATTAATCTTTTTGAGTGAATGCGGATGGTGTTGGATTTAGGTATCTGAAAGGATATTAGGCGGAAGAGAGTTGGAGATTTGCAAGTGGCCAGGGGATCCGGAGGTGTTGCTCAAGGCCATGCGAGAAAAGCTCAACGCTCTGGGACAGGTCTTACTTAGCGTCGTTGATTTCTTTTGCTTTTAATCTATTAAACACATTTTTCTATAATTTTTTCGTTATTTGATTGCAGCATTGGAGACGTGAAGTGAAATCCAAATGCCTAAGAGAATCAGCGAAGTCATACGGGTTTATGGGGTCCATAATTCGTCTCATCATTGTGAAGTAACCATAGCTTACTAACTAATTGTTAAACTTGGTTTAAAGAGGAACTGCAGTTGGGTTTCTCTTAGAAATGAGGGTTATTTTTTTTTGCGTATTTCTWCGCGGACCTATAACATTGCTACTTTGAGTAAGGTTCTCGAGTTGCCTGGTTGAGTTGTACCCGAAACAAAAAGGAGACACAATTTCTCCAATGATGATTCTTGTCCTCTTCATGCAAATCGTGAATGACGGTTACTGATTCGCACTTAAACGGGTAAGCAAATATTAGATGATTGAATGAGGATCTATCGTATTTTCCTTTCTTTTTATTGCATTTTATTGAAGATTCACAGCCTCAATATGAAGCTTTTAAGGTGGTGTATTAAATGCGAGTTTTAGGTTCATAGAATCAATTGTGCTCCCTGTATGAATATGTTCGAATACGTTGCAATAAGTTGTTGGAATGTAGTTAGACGATCCAATAAGTTGTATTATTATGAATCAATAACGTATTAAGATGATGAACAACAATCTAATAGTTACTTTAATAGTAAATCTTGGAAGGAGTTCTATAGAACACTGTTTTGACCAAGGTTCTAAACGGCGTAGCATGACGGTGAAGTCAAGTCTTAAGCCTTAGGAGCGAGGGTGTTAACGAGTTGAATCGAGTCGAGTCTTGAGTTATTCGAGCTCRGCTCGAAAAAATATTACTAGGCTCAAGCTTGAATAACTTTTTCACCATAGTATTTTTCCAATACTGGAGCTCGAGCTTGATACTCGTGTACGGATCGATTAGCTTGCTTGTTGGCTTGACCTCAATAATTTTTATACTTTGATTATATTGTGTACGAACATAAGAACATGTTTGGCTCGCAAAAGTGTATGTCCTAATGGCTCACTTTGACTCAAAAAATTTAATCAAGCTTTCATACTAGCTGAGTCGAACATTGATATTATGAAGCTCGACTTGTCAAGTTAAATGAGTTTTAGTGTATGTTCAAGCTCGACAATTATTAAGCTTGAGCTCAAGATAAATGAGCTCCAGCTAAAGTAGCTTGTTAAAAGCTCAATTCATTACCCCCGACTTAAAGGCCATGGCGAAGTCATAACGTTTTTTCAAGGCAATGACTTGTGGTACAAATCTTTTTTGTATCATATATATATATATATATATATATATAATTATTTATATACACATACGTTTTCTACTATTACTCAATAAGTCGATGATATTAAGCAATCTAAACTGGGTTATTTACTAAAAACTAAAATGTAATATTTTAACAAAGGTAAGAAAAATCAAATATCATATTATAAAAATCATGCATCAGGCGTAACACATGCTTAATATGGCTTTAGACACGAGTCTCGAGCCACATCATGCTATAACGGCTATCATGGCGAGCCTTGACAATACCAATTTCAACAACATATTGCTTTATAATGACATAACTTGTTGGGTCGCTTAGCTATGTGTTGTAACCTATTGCAATACATGTAGAAACATAAACATTGCAACTATAAATTTAAAATTCTCATTAAATACTCTGTTATCCAACATGTTGTGATGTATATTTGTTGATTTTAGTATAAACAACAAAGATGTAATTGCTCGTGTTATAAGTTTTTTACACGATTTATAAGACGGATTGTAACGTTAAAGTTTCACGGAACGAATCACGAAACACATTGGGACGTTTGATGCACTGCTGTTAAGATCAAACTCCGATGGTCATAGTAAACGGACCTGACAGGTTCCGGATCAGTTGTAATCCTTTCCAATGCCCAGCAGTTCAGTAAGTGATGCTTTTCCAGTTATATCGCCTCAAATATCTGGGTGCTAAACGCTAAACAACTAGACGCAGAATTTCCGTATGAAATATTTACATTACGCTAACATTTCCACTATAAAACACAAGTCCGCATTATAAGATCTACAACTAAACCGTCTACCAAGTATGCTTTTTAAAACAAATGACAATTTTAGGCTACATTATCATTAAGACATCGATCCATTTACTGCTGCTACTTGCAATTTATCAGTCGGTTGAATGACAAAATGATCAACAACCCGGACCGTATTTACAGGGTCCTGATGAAAAGCATTTGCCTTCCATTTGCTCGGAAACTTTCTGTGGTGACTCGCCTGCTGCGGCTGTTTTACCTCGTTGTCCCAGTCAGGATCCAGCTTCCATTCCTTTGGAACCTGTATACGCAATCATACAGCACACATAACGTTCATCAACCATGCATGGATATAATCAAACTAAACGAACCGGGTATATCCCCATTTGAAAGTTGGGTTTGAAGGGTGAGTGATGTGATGTGGCAGACATGTCATCTACCCCCAAAAGATATATTCATATACTCCATCTGTCCCAAAATAAGTGTCCACATTTCTAGTTTAGTTTGTCCCAAATAAGCGTTAAAAGTGCTACTTTCCTATTCAGCCATTGATTATTATACACAGAAATTCATCACTTTCTATTATTAAGGATAAATTGCCATTTGATCAATTAGAACATGTACTCCTTCCGTCTCAAAATAAATGTCCACAATGAAAAAGGCACACAATTTTAGAAATGAATACTTAATATACTTTTTAATCAACTAAATGACAACTTTACCCTTTATAATAGAGAAAGTAATGAATTTCTCCGTCTCATACTCAAGAGTAGAATTGGCAAGTAGATACTTAGTTTTGAAAGTGGACACTTATATTGGGACAAACTAAAATAGAAACGTAGACAATTATTATGGGATTGAAAGGAATAACAATTACACATTTCAAGAACTTAGTGCCTTTTTCATAGTGGACATTTATTTTGGGACAAAGTAGCAAAAGATAGAGTGCATGTTTTTGTGAAGACCCTCAGCTTGTGCAAAAGTTTGGGCGAAAAGGAAAGAAAAACCACGATCCATTAAAAGTCTTACCTTGTCGACCGCCAGAGTRAAGATTTCAAGATCACCATCTGGCTTGATGTGGAACCGGGTGAAGGACTTGTAATTAGCAATGCGTAACGAGGAAAAGGCTTCGTCAAAGTGTAAGTGAAGCCAATTGATACAAATATACAAGTAGCTTCCAAATACAAGGGAAACCACRGGCGTTGAAAACACCCAGTAATAAAGAAAGACGGATGCATAATATATGGCCGCACCCCCTCGTGACAGTGAAACCATCCCGTTCTTGCATATGTTGGTCCGAGTTACAGCCATGACCTGAAAATTGTCGGGGAATTAACAAAAACCAAAAAGAATTTCAATTTACAAGTACTCCCTCTGTCCCAAAATAAGAATTCACAATTCAACTTTAGTTTGTCCAAAATAAGTCCCCACCTACTTCCCAATTCTAAAACTGTGTGCCTTTTTCATTGTGGACATTTATTTTGGGACGGGGAGAATAAAAAGGTATTAAAAAATACAAAAAAAACGAAGGTCCAACAACCTCTGGAACATCAAAAGCGGACATGAGATATTTAATACACGCCGGATAAAGGCCAAAAGTCCATTGCTCCATACGGGTCCGAAGACCTGTGGGGTCCGGAAAATGCTCACTTTCCACCCATCTGTACCATTCATATAACGTGTGATAACCTGAAATCAAGATTCCAAATGTCATGAGACTTGAAACACCCTAAACCCTGAACTGTGATATGAGGAAAAGAAAAGCATAAGCATAAATCCTGCCTGAAGTTGCCAAAAGGTTGTGTTGGACGCATATTTCGACACCTAGTTCCATTAGTAACATAAGAATCAAAGCGGCCGATAGGTGGACAGAAACATGCAGAACTCCGATTAGTACTTTCCTTTTCTTGGACACTTTGGAAGGAACGAAAGATATCGCAGCCACCAACAGTAATATAGCACCCACGGAAGATACATACGATTGTCCAAGCATGTACATAAAAGCATCCCACACCGTGCTAAAAAAGCTCATTACGTGGCCGGAAAACGTATCATCCTTTTGTAAGATATGGCCCAGGTTGCACTGAGGAAAAGAAAGCGACAAATGTAAATTCTCTGACTACAGTCATCAAAACCGAACCAAACCAAAAGACCCAATATATCCCATTTGGAAGTAAGATCTGGGGGTGGAACATATGCAAACTTATCCTCTACCCTAAAAAAGTAAAAAGTACAATCATCCAAATATTCTTGAAGTGTGTGTTTGGTACACAAATGGGACCGAACATGACTGGACGGATGAGTGTGAGGTAGGCCGGTGAAAGAATTGTGCAAGGTTTTAGGGTTTTACTTTGACATGGGTAGTTTAGTAATTTACCAAGCTTGTCCCATCTCCAAGATTTTTGTTCCGCCCATTTTGGTAGGAGAAACAAATGCATTTTTGTCTCACTTAGTCCTGTCGTGTTCCGGTCTAAATATCGCACCAAACGTGGGACAAGTTTTTGTTGTCTTGCCCCGTCCCACGTACCAAACGCACCCTTAAGGTAATGAAATCTAATAACTGAAGAGTGCTCTTAAATCTCGAGTCTAGCATGGATCAAGGATTATGGGAAATAAAAACAAAATCCATACCTGTGGGAACATAGAAAAGGTCAATATGAAGTAAATGAACCCGCCAATGATATCGAACTGCCAATTTTTCTTCCGAAACTTCAAGATATTACCAAGAGCAATCTGCATGGCAGAGTTTCACACAAAAGATGTTAAAAGACAATGTAAATCATAATATAAAATAAAGTTGAGGTTGCTTACTTACCCTGCTTGAATCTTCAAAAGAAGGATAAGCAGCTTTAATCTCGTAATTTGTCCCATACGCTTTGTCGAAATTACTGAATACGTGGGTAGGATGCAAAAAGGCCCCACCGCAACCGTTTACAAGTAAATGTTGCACGGAGTCGGGGTTTTCCGATGGAACACGAGAATGTCGCAAGTAATGATGCAAGTCACCAGCCATTCGAAGTTTACACCTTCCTTTTAGATAATCTTTAACAAGGTGTGTGACGTTTTTTCCTGTCACATCATCCCAGTACCAATCCAGAATCCAATTTGGTTCATGCGTCATTATGATCACAGAATCGTCTTCTTTAACCTGGAATATAGGTACAACAGATCCTCAAATAAAACCCAAAACACAATAAATCCTACACGAAGTGGGATCTGGAAGGGTAAGATGTACGTAGCCTTTCCTCTGCCCCAAGGAGTAAAGAGGTGGTTTTTGTGAATAGACAACAAATACTCAAATCACAAGATACGGAATTCTCCCTCCGCCCCCAAATAAGTGTTCTCGTTTCTAATTTAGTTTGTCCCAGCATAAGTGTTCACTTTCAAAAGTAAGTCCTATTTCCCAATTCTACCCTTAATTATGAGATGGAGAAGCTCATTACTCCCTCGATTATCAAGGGTAAAATTGTCATTTAGTTAATTAGAAAGTGTAATTATTACATATTTCTAAAACTGTGTCCAATTTTCATTGCGAACATTTATTTTGGGACGAATAGTATATCAGAAAATGATACTCACAGGTGTATTAAAAGATGAAAAAAGAACATGATAAAAAACGAATAACACGTATGGCAACTTGTTACCTTTTCCTTTATCAACTCTGCGAAGAATTTGAACTGATAAACATCGACATCACAATGAAGAGCTAAATCAAGACCAAAAACCCACCATCCCTTCGGTAGCTGCAAAGCAAAATAGCTCTTCTTTTGGGGCATTAACCATCCACCCAACCAGCTCTTATGACAAATGTATCTCATAAAAGTTTGAAGCCCATCAAACCAATCTGTAAAATCGGGAAAAAAAAATGGTGGACCATGTCAACTCACATGGTTACAAACAAGAGAACCAAATTTTCTACAGTACAGCTTTAGAAATGTGTAATTATTACACTTTTTGATCACATTTACAGTATAAACGTTGTGCATGAAAGAAAAAAAAGTGCTCCCTCTTCCCAAAATTGTCCACAATGAACAAGACAGTTTTAGAAATGTGTAATTATTACACTTTTTACTTGACTAAATGACAATTTTACCCTTAATAGTAGAGATAGTAATGAGTTTCTCTGTCTCATAATTGAGGGTAGAATTGGAAAGTCGGTCTTATTTCTGAAAGTGGATATTTATTTGGGACAAACTAAAATAGAAACGTGAACACTTTTTTTTGGGACAGAGGGAGTAAAGAAAATACTGAGGCCAACGAAGACCAACCATGGTTTCCAGGAATAACAAAGCATTGAGGCCCATCATATTTTTTCAATTCAGATACACCAGACGGTAATTCCGGCTTGTCTACAGCTATATGCACATCTTTATACCATGACGGTGGTTGAAGAGCGTACTCAAAAGGACGAAATAAACGCTTCTCATAAGTGAATGCTGATGGATTAGGATACCTGAATCAAACCCAATAACATATACCGTGAATTACAGAAAAGAAGAGGCAAGAATAAAAAAAAACCGAACATTTTGTTTGGTGAACTACATATGGAACATATTATGATCATGGGATCAAGAGTAAATACTAGAGCTTCTGCATGTGATATGTTGGGCTAAGCAGTTAACACGGTCGATTGCGGAAATCGCGGTCAGGACCGTGATTTAATATCACAGTTATCACGATGGTATAGCAGTAAAAAAAATTACGTTCATAAAATATATATATATATATATGTAACTTAATATATTTTATATGCCTAATACATATCAAGTCAAAAAATACCACACAAGAAACATAGTAATAGAGTTTATGAAACTCATAAACGACTAAACGAACAATGAATGAGTCAGACAAAATAAAATTAATAAAGATGCCCAACATTAAAAACAAAAACAATGAATGAGTCAAACAAAACAGAGCTATACAACTATCTTTATAAAATGAACTGAAAACAATAGCTATACAATCATGTTTATAAATTGAAAAAACAAAACAATAAACAGGAATATGGGACAATGGGAGTATGAGACAATGGGTGAAAACATAATAGTAATGTTGATGGTAGAGTCTGGAGGGTGGAGGGGAGTTTGATTGAGGAGTAGAATCGTAGATTTAAGGAGAGTCTGGAGACAAGTGATCCTAGGGGTGTTGCTTATTACAAAATTGATCAAAATTTGAATAAAAGTCTTAGGTTTGGGTCAAATAAAAGTCATAAACTTTGGAGTCAAATAAAAGTAGCCCAAAAACGAAAAAAAAAAGGACCAGGAAAAAGATAGCTATATCATAAACCGCTGTTTCAGATCAAATAGCGGTCAAATACCGGTGTTTAGCACCGAATTTGCAGTACCACTATTCCAAGCCGCTTATAGCGCACAGTTAACTGCCCAGATGTTGGGTCTCACTTTATGGCTATGTTTGGCAAACGATAAAAACTAGTTGTTGGCTAATAAGCTAAATGTTAGCTGATAAACATAAACTAGTCATATTTGGAAAAAAGCTAGCTAATAAGTAAAATGACCTAAAAGAACATACTGAAAAATTACTCGGGGCCCATTTGGTGTGAGAGAATGCCTTTTGAGAGAWTTGGATTTCGTGGAAGGATTTGGAATCTTTGGTGTTTTTGGTTTGTAGGATTTGGAGTGGAATTGAATTCCATTCTTTATAGATAATTTATAAAATAAATTGTAAACAATTATAAAAAATTAAATTACCTTTTACCAATTGATTATTACAAAACAAATGTTTTTAACATATTTTAGAACAAATCCTACGAAAACCCGTGAAATACCAACTACCACCATAGGATTTCTAAATAAAATGTTTATGGGATTTCGGTGATATCCTGAATTTCAATTCCAAACTTTTCTTTAAACCAAACGCCCCACAAAATCCCTCAAACCAAACGGCCCCTCAATTCTAACATAAGGGGCATAATTTAAAAGAAGCTACAGGAGGTTATTGAAAAGCCAACTATATGTAGCTTTCAAAAAGCTATTAGCTTATATGGCTTACTAAAGGGGCTTTTCAATAAGCTCAAATAAAAAGTCAGCAACGATAAAAAYGTTGAAACTTACGCAAGATCACCTCCAATAAGAAGGAGGTCTCCTCGAGGTAATGTTAGCATAGAATCATCATCGACTGCGCAAAGTGAAGGCTGAGCAAGAAGTCGAGCAACAGAGTAAGAGGAATTCCCACCATCACCAGTATCAGCCATAAAATCAAACCACAAGTGATCTTTTTCACTAAGATGGTCGTATAAAAAATCCTCTTTAGCCCCTTCATGAACCCTACTCATTGCCGCCTGTAGAAGATAGCAAAATAAGGTCACAAAAATAATACTGTGAAGGCAGGAAAATATTTACACATATATATAAAGATGAAGTGAACCAATATAACCATTATTTTTTTTATCTATTCATGAATATAAATATATCACCTTTTCACAGGAAAGCAATGACATAATGGAAATTCTAAGGAATTAATGTTAGGATTAAAATTAGCAATTATAAATTTAATCCGTAAAAATTACATATAACTTTTTACATACAACTGATTTGGGCACCGATGATCAAATGTACTATTTAAAATACTTTTTCCCGGAAAGGTAGCTTAAGAATATATCAATCACTTAGAAAAGTTACTTCCTATGTTTCCTATAAACTCTGCTTAATTCAACCGTAACTGAATTCATTACTTTTCAAGTGAGAAGTAAATAAGTAGATATAAATTTTTTGAACCTGCATCATGCGCATGTCAAATCTTCCGACAAATACAGTCACCGATACAAGGAGGTCAAACACGGTCTTGAATAAATCAGCTGATGTCCTGCAACATACATACATACACATAGATAAAGATACATATATGTCATGCAAATACACATGCACACACATATATATATGTATATAGAAGAGAGAGAAGAGAAATATATACCCTGAATACCAAGGAACCATATCCAAAAAATTAGGCTTCATTTGCTTATTCTTCAACTTCTCAGTTTTTTCGACTGATAGAGGATGAGTAAGAGCCCATCTGATGATCAAAAACCGTTGATTAGAAAAAAGAAAATTGCATAAAAATGCAACGCACTTTGGGATGATTCCTATTTTGTGTAACATACATGCAAAAACTTTATTTTGGTACCTAAGAAGTGACATCTCAAACATATAAGTACCTACTTTATATAAGAGAATGCATGAAAATGCAACAAACTTTGGTCTGATTCCTATTTGTGTAACATACTTTGTTCTAACCATTTTGAGATATCACATCTGAGCTCTGAGGTACCAAAATGAGACATTAAAAGAAAGCTAGTCGTGTAGACAACAAACACAAAGAACAAAGAGTAGCCTACTTACCCAGTTGATCTTTCCACCACATAATTAGCCATATAAAGACCTATAAATGTTGCCCATAATGAATACATCGGAGAAATTTCATCTGATGACTCACATGGACCACTGCAAGAAAACTGAAAAGAAAAAGAAAAAAAGCAAAAATGTAAGTTGAATGTATTTAAATCCTCGATAACATACCCAACAAACTGATCATCAAAGGTCATACTTCTCCATATATAACCCACTTAGAGAGAAGTGGATAATCACCGGCAGACCCAACTGGAGCAAACCATGATTTGCAAATTTCATCTTTTAACTCATACATTTTAAGAAATTTCGATAGCCATATGCTCGTCTCTCCCTTCTTCCAAAGTGAAAACAGGCTAGAATCTCTTCGTCCCAATCGTTTTTCATTCAAAGCATGATTGCCACAGTGGCTATAAAACACACAACAGGCCACACTTAAGACCTACACAGATAATATCAAGCCATGAAAACTAGGACCACGAATAACATACACAACTTATTAGAATTGTATAGATTCGATTTACTGAATTTGTCCGACTTACAGCACAATTTTGAATAATGGTCAAGATCTCAGGTCTCCTCCCTGCCACACGAGAAACAAGACCAACGTACCAAAGGCCCAGAAAGATTAGGTGGAAAACAAGGAGTACAAAAATAGAAGAGATGTATATCGTCAAAAATAAAGAGAGATTCATCCTCATATCCACTCCCATCGACTGAAAACTGGGAAGATGGTATACAGCTGCCACTAATATCCAGGCTATATACCTGCACAGAAGAAAGATCCGAAATATCAATATAGGCCTGAAAATTGAAAGAATTTCCGTGCTACAATAGAAAAAAGAAGGATAGAAGCAACTTACCATCGACTGAAGTTTGAATAACTTGGTTTAATTGTCTTCCCCACGAAAGGAGATGAAAAGAAATAGAAAAACCCAAGTAAGCAAGCGTACATTGACCACCATTTGATGTTGTTGTCTAACTTCTGGATGAGCGTATGCATGTTGTCTGATGAAATAAAAAACAGGCAACCAATAACGACCGCAATAATTGCATGGCGGGAATGCTCATGGGGGTAAGGATATGTATGTGTTAGGATTATCCTGACTTTCTCCATGTTAATAGTGTCTAGCAGACCACCATGCTCCTTATCCGACCCCATACTTAATCTTAATTGTCAAATGAAGGCCGTTGATTTACAATACTTTCATGTACTTGATAAGAATCTAATCTTCTGTAGCAAGCCAAGCAGCTCCAGGATCCTGAATACAGTCCAGGATATTAAGATCAGATCCAACATAAAGAAATCTTTCTAAAAACTCATTTTCATATATCATAACCTCAAAAGTACAGAAAAACATATAAAAACCCGACAAAAATGAACTTAACCCATTAAACATATAAAATTCATCATCAAATCTTATGTTACATATGTGTCTTGTTCCCAATACATAAACAGACAATTCACCGAAACATGGTTGTCATCATTTTGCAAGGTCATGTCCCTCTTAGCACCAAGAATAGCTTTACAACTTTAGGTTTAGGACATGGTGTCTGAGTTTATTTCTTTCTTGAAGAAAAAGAAATCCCTGTTCGTGACTAATTGCCATAATTCAATTGCAAGATACAACAATAATCACATTACAAGAACCCAGGGAAACACCATCTCCTAACAGATAAAACCCTAAAACAGAGAGACGACCTACAGAACCCACATAAACATCATCTTTACATATATGTAAATAATTCAATTATACCACTTTCCGATTGTTCTCAACGAAACTTTTAGTTAAACTGCTGATCACGATATCACAATCATGCATTTCGCCATCAAGATAATCAGAAGAAGAAACTAGAAAGTACAAAATTAGGGTTTCCTTGGCCAACAAGCTTTTCCCAAATACAAGATGTCAAGCAAACAGCAGGCGAAATCGTAAAAATCAGAACCTACCCACTACACGTTTTATACACTTAGACATGAAAATCAATTGTCGGAAGAAACATGAATTAGGAACAGATAGAATAGTACCTTAATGAGTCAAGAAAGAAGGAAAACGGTATCTGTTGGTTAGATATAGTATTGAATTTATAGAAGTTGGGGGGAAATTATGGAGTATCGAAGAATGTCTGCGGCGAACAAATTTCGATACAATAGCATATTCGTTTCTCTTACTCGATATATATACGCCTAACAACTTCGTTGGCCTTGTTCTGTAACTTTGGAAAAAGTGGGTCGGTGAAAATGTGGAAGAGATGGAGGGTCGTATAATGAAATCAAGAAAAATGTGATAAATAATAAGGAATTGCTTACTCATGATGATCACAATTTGAWTACGCAGATGATAAGACCAAAAATATGATGAACGAAGACTCACGTGGGGTCGCATTTACGGAACCTGCGGTTAATGCAGGATTAATGGCCGTTGGATCGACTTTATCCAGGAAGGAAACATACGCATCATTCTATGAGCTTTTCGCCATTGGATACGATGATGGATTGGAATGGTCGGTGAACATCATTTAAACATTTTTTATTTTAAAATTATCATTTTTAATATCTGTAACAAACTTTTTATTTATTTAAAGGTCTAATTGATAATGATTACATGGCTTGAATAGCTACCAACTAAATTCCATATAATATTTAAATCTATAACAGGTTTCATGTTGATGTAATTTTCTCTTATTTTTTTCTTTCAAAAGATACAAACCATTTCATAGGGTTGTCCGATTGGATTCTAGTAAAAATAAAAGTCATGGTGAGAAGGGTAAGAAGGAATTTTCATCGTTGGATTAATCCTAATTGAAGAGAAACACTATATCAACACCAATGAGATATACCGGATTAATTCCATTATAAAGTGCAATTCATGGGTTATTTTAGATTAAAAGTTATCAATGGTCCAAATCATTTCTTACACTTCTTATTTTAATTCATATTCTCATACGATCGTTTGTCTTATTTCATATTTATTAATAATTGAATCTTCGTGTTAAAATCCTTTAGGTCTTTATTAAAAGTTGTTCAATTTAAAAATATATTATAAGTGAAGGATAAGTGTATCATAGATATGACGATATAGATAGAGATAGACATATAAGAGATAGACTAGTTGGATACCCGCGCAATGCGGCGAGATGTCAATGTTTTTTTGTAAATCGAAGGTATGACGTTTATGATCATTATAAACTTCAAATTTTTATAACAGTTGACTAACCAGAGATTTGGAAAGAGAATTGCACGATTAGCGGATTTCCAAACACACATCAATTGTTATTCTTAGATTGTTTAATAATGATTTTCACTTAATGCAACTCATGATCAACAAAAAAAAACCAAAATTCATGTTTAAACAAAACGGAGATATAATCATCTAAAATAATATAAATCGACACATACAGAGTATGAGAATATATCACTTGAAGCATCCATATGTAGATATGTCATGTAAGAAATGTCTTATRATTATAATAGATACATACCAACCGTAGTTGTAAAAAATGTGTAATAATAAGTACTCGTTTGTACCTTATTAATCGCGTAAAACTTCTTGATACACCATGTTTGATGTGTAGACTCCATCACGATTGAATTTTTTGGCAGGCTTTCCTAATACCTTTGTATTTTCACGTGATGTCTCTTTTGATAACGCCACATAAAGTTGTCYGTGAGAGAATACTGATTCTGATACATACACACCTATATTAGGAATGGTCTGTCCTTGAGCTTTATTGATTGTCATAGAAAAGCTAAGTCGGATTGGAACCTGTTTTTTCTTCAATTTGAAGGGGAACATGTTATCTTCAGATGAACAAAGAATATTCTCGGCAAAAATACTCTCTTTCCAGCATGCTGACCAACAGTTATTTCTGCATCGAATATGTTTTGTTGAAAACYTCTACATATCAATTTGGTGCCATTACATAAGCCGTTAGAGTGATCGATATTCCGCAATAGTATTATTGGGAATCCAATTTTGAGGCGGAGGTAATGCGAGGGCAAACCATTGACAGTCAGCGAATTTAAGAACTCCATTGGATAGAAGTTATTTCTATCATCTTCTGCTTCATCAAAACCGTAGTAAACTTTTTTATCGCCGCAGTATCTATCAATCAATTGATCATTAATCTCATCGACATTCTCATTTTTTGTTGATAATATCGTCCTCGAAATGATATAGTTTGAATCTGCTCCATTAATTTGTAGAGATGGAAATATTGCGTCAATCAAATCATGTTTTGATTTATTTTTATCAGTATAGGCAATGGTCATGTCATCAGGAATGAGTATAAAGCTTTCTTCCATCGTTTCTTCATCTCCATCACCTACTCGTAATAGAAAATCTGAAAACCATGGATCACTTTGTGCTCTCATATTGAAAGTTAAACGTATTTTTTTAATCGAAGACCAAAGAGGTGACATTCGTAGGTTTGAATCTACAATTTGTGCCTCTTAGCCATTGACGTTTCGTCCCAAATAATTATTTTTGTATCCCATAGCAATTAAGCAGTCCCGCTTTATTTTTTTATGTTGTACATGGAGTTGTTATCAAGATTGAGGGGAATCTTAAATCGAGAGTAAGTTGTTCTCCCCCCAGACATATTATTAGCTGCAACACTTGAAGAAGTAGTGGCGAGAGCAATGAGACCACGAGAAGGAATGTTGGCAAACAATGCTTTGTACAAATACATTTTTCCAGTCCCACCTAGACCATCTATGAAGAACACTCCTGAACGATCATCGTCTATGTGCTTCATGATCTCATCGTATGCGTATTTTTTGTCGAAATTAAGGGAGTCTTGGGCACGTAAATGTTCGTCTTCCACAACTATGGAGTATTCCTCTTGTACCTCACAAAAACTTCCAAATTGTAAGTTCGTATGTACATTTATCTTTGGAAGATCGAAATCATCAAGATTTTTACCCATAGATTGTAGAAAGCTTGTGATGTCAGTTAGAACCATATTCCGAACTCGGTCAACACTTTCGCATTGTCGTCTATAATCTTCTAAAAGTGAATCGTAATGTTGATCCTTGTGAACATCTCCTRGCTCACAATAAATTAATATTGTCGCAAATAGCCTCCTTAGAACTTTGGGAAACTGAAACAAAGAAGTCTCTGCAAGACATTGTGATAAGTTATCGTCTGTCTCTATTAAGCCTCTTTCAATTGCTACTTTCCGGAATGTCGGGTATAATATGTCATTGAATATGAATAGATCTTTAAAAGATRTAGGCCCACTAATATGAGACAAAAGTAGGCGTAGATAGTACTGCTCTCCTTCGGCGAGATTAGCATAAACCAATCGTCCTCACATTGATCCTTGTTTTCTCGGATTCCAACGACGTGCACTCGCATTCCATGTGTAATGTTTTGGAAAGTCTTTATATGAATATTGTCTTGCACTCTCGTCTTCTTTATTTATGTCGAAAAATGCAGTCAACATTGTTCGTTTACCACTCTCTCTAGCAACAATATTTGTCATTATATCATCATCTTTGAACCTAACCATCTGCTTATTAGGGAGATAGAGTTGCAAAGCCATCACATAAGGTTGAATTTGAGAAAGTGCAAAGCTAAAAATCCGCCACATTGCCTCCGAGGGGAGACATAATATGCATCTTGAAATCTTTTAATCTCATTAATAACACTGTCCTTCGTCTGGATCTATATGCATACCTTGTTTATCATGACCCTTGTAAATATATTTGAAGAGATATTTCACAGATGTTATACTTGAACAAGCCTCAACATTAATATGGCAGTTGAACATCATTAACAATTTTGGCTTATACGGGACAACCCATCTATTATCCAGTGTATTGCCCCGTACATTCACATCTCTTCCAATATTTCTCCTCCGGTATAAMGGGTATGAGTTCTCAGCCTGTGATGTCTTATCGTTGAATTGTCTAGGATATCTAAAACGACAGATTTTTGGCTCACCTTACATGCAAGGACTGGACGATCGTAAATGACCGCAAGGACCATGCATCATGTGTTGGACAACYAACTGGTACATTTCAGTATACTTTGTTGGGTCAGGAATTTCAGCACATACAATCTTGTCGTAATGATCTAGATTGGTTATTTTGTCATCAGGTCTCATTATCATGAGGAAATGCGCATGTGGCAATTTACGCTTCTGAAACTCGATGACATAAACTTATGCCTTGACAGTGCCGAGGATCTTCTTTTGGAAGAGTTGGTCCTTGAGATCCTCTAATTTGGTACGAAAAATTCTTGCAACAAGGTCCGGTCAATCTTGGGCAGTCTGACCGGGCAATAGCTCTTTAAGGATTTCTGGCCATTTTAGATTACACGTCATTGTAAGGAATATGTCGGGTTTCCCGTCATCTTAAACTAAAGCCATATCATCCAAAAATCGTCGCCGCATGTCATGTGGGCCTCCTATAAAACTTGCAGACTACACAACTCGTTGTCCAACTCTACTTGGTTGAACTTCACCAGCATTAACGCAATTCACAATGCCTTGATATAAATCCGCTCTTATCTTGGTTTGGTTAAGTTCACAGAAACGTAAACGTGAAGTCTTGATCTTGATGTAGGTATCTACCACTAATTGTTGAAGTAATCTTCTCCCCAATAGAATCACATTATTGTTTGAACTGATCTGGAACTTGTAACAATAGTATTCCCACATAGATACAATATTTCTACCCCTTCTTGCATAAGTTTCTGTGTAATATTTTGAAACATTTAAATTGATGATATGTATGCTTTCAAAACTAATTAGTTACTTCATATAATATATTAACATATGCGATAGAATTTGTACCTTCAGAATCTTCTTACATGATTTCGTTGTCATCAACAACTTCACCGATAGGCACTCCATGTCTTAGAATTTTAGAATGTCACCTAGACTCACCTTTTGGAAAGAACAAATGATAAAACAATGGATCGTAACAACCGAGGTRAGATTGAATTTCTTGGCTATAGTCAAACCTCCCGTACACAACAATATTTCTTATATGCAGTGATGTTGTCATTGCCTTCAACCCAAATACTAACAACCTAAAGAATGTGATTATTTAATATAGTCCATATTATGTATCATATGTGTTTATAAGATAAAAAAGAAAATGTTTTTATTCAAACCTCAAATGTAATCGGCTGGTTGTATACCCTCTAGTCAAGGTCCACCGATGCATTCAAAATGACTCTATAATTGTCGAGTGATCCTAATTCTGCAAGGCTTCAAAATATTCTCACGTATGGATTTGTAGCAAGAACACGCGTCAAAATGTCAATGATACTTCTATCAAGATTGGGTCATTGGAGTCTATGTGAAAACTCAGACTCAGCAACATAAAAATATAACTGTAAATACCTAGGTCGTCCATCCCTTGGAACTAACTGATCAATTTTATGATATACTTCTCCATGTGCACGAAAAATATATACACTGGATGTCATATTATTCATTGTCTCATCCAAAGTTACACCCATCGATGTGAAAGAAAAGTTTGTGTTGTATGCACGTATGTTGTGCCTRAACATTTTGCCCAATTCAGATTATGATGTGAAGAGATTGTATAATTCTTCCGGAATGGGAGAGTATGCTAACTTTGTCTTCCCACTCATGCAGCAGAAGGAAGGGAATTCAAACTTGAATCGTTTTGCTCCACAATGAGTACATGCAGGTTGTTCATTCAAAAGGCGATGTTCCTTAGGTATACGCCTTAAATATAATCGTATGGATCTTCCTCGAGGGTGTCATTTCGGTTCGATGAGTTGACAATGACCTTAGTAGATGTTTCTACATCTAGGACATTTGAATGTAAAAATATGGTTAACATTTAAGAACTAAACCTATGTAAAAATATAGTTATCATTAAAGAACTATATCTATGAATACAAGAATGTAAAAAGTAAATTAAATGATAATTTACAAAACTTTAAATATTCTGTTGGAAAAAAATAAATTGCATCATATATGAAGTTACAATAATACAAAATTGATGCTTGAATATACATATTGGATTTTACCTGTGACATCCATCACTTCATTGTTCTCTATGGTAGTTGTCAATGTTTAAATGCTTGTATGTGGGTTACCACTTGTTGTTGTTATGCTTTTTTCCTTATATCGTAGATAATAATTTCTATTATAAGTTCTCCTTCTTTCAGCAAGGACTATTGCACTAAATGGTGTTGTATCCGTTGCAGCTAAATTGGTGACATGTGTTGCACTAACTGGTATGGTGTCCGTTGCATTGAAATTGGTGACATGTGTTGTAGATTGACTATTTCTCTCAGCATGGACTATTGCACTAACTGGTGTTGTATCCGCTGCAGCTGAATTGGTGACAGGTGTTGCACTAACTGGTATGGTGTCCGTTGCAGTGAAATTGGTGACAAGTGTTGTAAATTGACTACTTCCTTCGCCGTTAGCTAATTTTCGCCTTTTGTTAATATCCTTATGTCATGTATAGTAGTCTTGATTGTATTGTGTTCGTTTTTCTGTAAGAATATGATTTTCCGTGAAATGTATATTATAAATGAGTATATCACAAAGGCATAAAAAATATAAAGTTAATTCCATTTCTATATACTACACATACTTTTCTTCAAATCTAGATCAACTTGTGTAACAACACCATTGTCACCTTCATCGTCTACATCTTCATTAACAATCATCATTTTACACTGTAAATATATATAAAATGAATAAAATATATTTTCCGTTTATCATTATTCGTTATTTGGATGTTAAAAAAATTGCCATTATCATCATCAAATGCAATCAAAGCATATATATATATATATATATACATATATATATATATATATAAAGACAACAAATACTAAATATAAAATAAAGGTCATTACCAAAAGCTTATCACTAAATGTTATCATAACATAAAACGAATAAAACACGATAATAGTCTTGATTATCCATATATTTTTATATTTGATAGCAGTCTAATGTTATCCGCTTYTGGCATCTGTGGTTTGAACTCAATCTTGGTTAACTCTGTAAAACTCAAAATATTCACTGATAATTATATAAATAATATAAATTATTAGATTCATTAATTTTAAATAACGGTGCATAAAAAAGATTATATAAAAATTAACTTATAACGTACTTGACTTCTTATGGATAAATTTAAGTCGAGMTGCATATATTATAGATTTATCCTTGATTGCACGAGCGATCCTCACAGGACGTGTACATGGAGTGTTAATCAAATTCATCTTTATTATTGTTCATAAAATGAACGCTTTTAAAATTTGTAATAATAAGTTAACTACATAAGTATATATATATATATATATATATATATGTGTGTGTGTGTGTGTGTGTGTGTGTGTTATTTAGTATCTAAAAATGTAATTTATATAC